CTTAATTGTGATGAGTTTTTCCATATCCATGGAGTAATTCTTCCTTAGGGATTGATGGATTTGGTGTTTTTAGAATTGGTTGTGGATATTAACTTTAGTTTTATGCATTAAAGCGTTTTGGGTATTTTTATTGTTGCATATATATTCACTTGTTTATGTAATCGAAAGAGGCATAATTTGTGATGTTTTGCATTATCTTATTAGTTGAATTCCTTGATTCTTGTTAGTAATTAAAAGAGGCTAGTTGAAATAATGTTTAGACCTAGTTAGGAGGATAATCGAAATAGGTTCTCCTAAGGATCAATCCACTACGAATTCTTGCATATCTTCACAAAGCTTAACTTAGTTCACATCGTAAGGTTGAGACTTAATCGAGAGAGGAGTTTCTACTGAATATTTGAACATAATAGAGTGAATTTGAGAGACTCACTTGAACCATAGAAGTGAAGAAACTAGAGTTAATTCTCAAACAAGTATCTTACACCTATCCAATCAACCCCTATTTTCTCCCTTTGATATTTTCTTGCTTACTCTTGTTGCGATTGTCATTACCCAATAGTTTAGACTTTTAGTAAATTTAGTTTTAAATCACAAAACTCTAAATTGCTGATCATCTTGGATAACAATTAAAACTAGAAGCTGCGAAAACACTATTCAAATCTAATCCCCGTGGATACGATGTTTTCTATACTATATTCAACTAGCAAGCATAATTTTGTGTTGTGTTTTTAGCTCGTCAAATTTTGGCGTCATTGCCGAGGATTGGCAATCAATAGTGTTGGAAATAGTTTGTAGTACTAATTCAGAAATTTTTCTTTTTAGTTTGTTTTTTGCTTTTTACGTTTGGTGTTCCTTGATTGTGCGCATGCTACAGTTTAGATTGGTGCATGACCCGATCTTCTGGGAAGGAATTGCTTCCATACGAGCCGAAAATTGAAAAGCAACTGGGACATCTGAGGAAAGAAATAAATCTCCTTCCGAATACAAAGAAGGTTGGGCTCAAAGAATTGCACAGAATCGACCCGTGGGTGTAGACCAGTTCGGAAATATAGCTCCCGGTTCCGGAATACCACTTGGTGATTATGCTAGACCAGTCTACAACCAAGGCTTATCGAGTGTGAGACCACCTACTGTTGCAGCTAATAATTTTGAGTTAAAGCAGGGGTTACTTCAAACCCTCCAAAATAGTTGTGTCTTTAGAGGAAAGATGAATGAAGATCGAAACAATCATCTGATGGACTTCGAGGAGATTATGAACACCTTCTAATATAATGGTGTGTCACAAGATGCAGTCTATTTAAGAGCATACCCCTTCACTCTCAAAGATGATGCAAAGCACTGGCTTCGAAGCTTTCCTAATGGATCGATTAGAATATGGGATGAGATGACCAGAAAATTTCTAGACAAAAATTTCTCATCAGCTAAGACGGGCAAGTTCAGAAGGGAAATCCACAACTTCTGTTAGAATGAGACTGAAACGGTGTTTGAAACTTGGGAGAGGTTCAAAGGAATAGTACGTAAGTGTTAGAATAGTGGAATAGAACTCTGGATGCAACTCCAAGATTTTTGGGATGGATTGACATCAACTTCACGCAGAACATTGAGCAACGCAGCTGGAGGTCCGTTGATGAAAAAGACTCCAGAGGAGATAGTCATTATTCTAGATGAGTTGTCTGAGGATGCAAATCAGTGGCCCTCTGAAGTTGCTGAAAGAAGAAGAACGACTGGTGTTCACCAAGTTGACGCTAACACATCAGTGCAGGTTCAACTTGATGCCACGGTAAAGGAAATAAGGAAGCTAACTTTAGCTTCAATACACAGTAAGCCTCCTGCAGCATGTGACATATGTGGAAGAGGACACCTTACTCATGAGTGTCAAGCCTCGATCGAGGAAGTTAATGTTGTTTGTAATTACAACTTCAATGCAATGGGTCAGAAGCACCCCGATTTTTCATGGATTTTACCTGGGGGTACAGCAAATGCATGGCAACCAAATAACTCCAGATTTCAAGGTGCTTCTAGTTTTTTGAATCAGTAGAGGCCGCAGTTTTAGCCTCAACAACCAATTTAGTTTGGGTTAGAAGATCTGATTAAGTCATTCATTGTCAAGATTGGGACATATTTGCGAAGTTTGGAGAGACAAGTGAGACAAATTGCAACTATATTATCTGAGAGAATCCCAGGTACTCTGCCAGCTAATACTAAAAAGAATCCCAAATAAACGGTAGATGTTGTGACCTTGAGAAGTGGACAATTTTTGAAAGATCCCACTCCAATTCACAAAGAAGTTGCGCCTGAAAAAGAAACTAGGAAGGAGCTGAAAATTGAAGATGGTGATAGAAAGACTAAGAAGAAAAAAGGGAAGAAGGGAGCTGAAAAAAAGAAAAAGGAGGAAACTTCAAGAAGGGAGGAATCCAATGAAGAGAGCTAGCACATGCCTGCTTTACCTTTTCCCCAAAAGCTCTATAGAGAAAAGCTGGATAAGCAGTTTGAGAGATTTCTAGATATGTTGAGACAGGTTAATGTAAATTTGGCATTCATTGAAGTTCTCTCACAAATGCCAGCTTACGCAAAGTTCATGAAGGAGATCCTTACAAAGAAGAGGAAGATAGAAGAGACCTTAGTGGTCAAACTTACAGAGCATTGAAATGCAATATTGCAAAACAAACTCACACAAAAGTATGGAGATCCAGGGAGTTTTACGATAAGTTCATATTTCCTGTAGATTTCATAGTGGTGAATATGGAGGAGAACAAAGAGGTCCCCCTCATCCTAGGAAGACCATTTTTAGCAACGGGTAGAACTATACTGGATATACATGATAGAAAACTCATACTTAGAGTGGGTGAGGAAACTGTGACTTTTGAGATGAATGTAGCAATTGGAGTGAAAAAGGAGAAGCCAGCTGCAAGTGTTAAGTGGAAGCTAAAGAGTTCAAGAGAGTAGGCTCTAGTGATTGAGAAAGATAAGTGTGGGGGTATCCCAAGAAGGCTGAGAAGAAGTTGTCCGCATGGATGTTTGTACTAGTTCGGGCGAATGGAATGGAGCCCGACTTCAACTCAGATCCAACTAAAAATTCAGGAAAGTTTCCTTTACCTTATACCTTTTAATTGTGTGTCATGGGGACATGCCACAACTTATAAGTGTGGGGTAGGGGGATATTTGTATGTTGTATGTATATGTATTTTAGTTTTTATTAATTTTAGTAGTTAGAGATAGAAAAAATTGAAAAATAACATAAAACTTTTAAACTTTTTGATTTTTCCCGATGATGGATATCATTCGACTGGTTTATTGAAGGATTTTTATTGAAAGAAAAAGTAAAAAAGATTTTCTTTTGTAGTTAGTGTATTAATTACCCCTTGGTTTTTCTTTGTGCCGCGGTTCTTTTCCAAGGGTTTTCTTTGAACCGGGTGTAGTTAGTTTTTATTTTTGTTAGGAGTAAGAAACCTTGTGCTATGGTTTGAAATGGAAGCAATATCTCTTGACTTTGTTATGCCTTGAGAATAGTGAGTGCTTTAGTTGTGACGCTTAGGCTCAGTTTTTGACTATTGTGTAAGTACCTTTAATTGTATAATCTTAACTTCGCTTAACTGCTTTGACTAGAGTGTCTTGATGAATCCAATCTTGAGTGAGTTATGTGCCATGTGTCTGAGGTTTTGTGTTATTTTTTGCATTGCATTTGATGTCTAGAACTTGCCCCGTGTGTTTGCAAAGCGAAATAGTAGTTTTATTCAGTCTTGGAAGTGATATAGGCAATTCTTTATTGAGCCAGTTATATGTTTTACCCACCTAATTATTATGTATCGTAGTTAACCCTTTTGAGCCTGTAATCCTATTTTTTTTTGTTTTGGCAACCACATTACAAGCATTACCCATTAGTTTGAATTGACCATTTATTTGAACTATTTACCTCTCTTGAGCACTTGAAATTGTATGAACTTTGTAAAAGTTGAAGTGTGGGGTGATTGGGTTGGCTTTAGAGTGGAACTAATGAAATAAGGAGAAGGTGCACTGAATTGAAAAAGTAAGAGCCACTTGAATTGAAAAAGAAAAAGAAAAATTTATGTAGTTGTATGAATGTGAAAAATGATCTTTGTTGAGTGGTAACTTTTGATGTAATTGTGCTTAAATAAGAAGGGAGTTAATGCATATTGATGTTAAGGTGGAGTATGGTTTGACAATAGTGTGGGGTTTTGAATGTTAAATTGTATGTATTAAAGTTCTTAGGGAGGTGTAGTCACGCTTATATCCAAATATATCCTACCCGTCCTGCAGCCTACATTACAACCAATTAAAGTCCTACTTGATCCTTGACTGAATGAGATCAATTAGTGGAGTAGTACACTACGAGCAAGCTTATGGTTCATCTTTTGAGGCATATGAATGTTGTTTCAGAGAGTGAGTGAATTCTTTCTATCTTGAATTCCTGATTGTTCTAAATTTTTATGGTGTGTGGAACTACTCTCTTTTGTTGTGTGAGGGCACTTCATTCATGAAGGAAAGGTAATGACTACACTATTGTGCTTAGTCTATTTTAAATATTCTTGGTATGATGAGTTATGAGAGTTGTTTAAAAAGGTCATCTCATTATGAAGTTTAGTTTAATTGCTCGAGGACGAGCAATGGTTTAAGTGTGGGGTGTTGATGGTAGGCTATAATCTCATATTTTAGTCGCTTATCGCAGTTTAATTTACTGCAATTTAATTGAGTTGGAGCTTTAATCGCTAGTGTTTTGCACTAATTGGGTATTTTATGCCTTGTAGGAGTGATTCCGATCTATGTAGATGTTATGGAATGAATTCAAGCTAGTCAGGAGCTTTGAAGACTATGTAAAAGCCCAAGGATTAAGTCGGGATCCTGTTCAGGGATCAACGGATGATAGTGGAACGAAACGAAGAATCGAGCAGGCATATTGCGCAGTGTCCAGTAAACTGCACATAACATTTCGCTCAGAACTCCATTTGGGCTCCACAATATATCGTTGCAAAGCTATTTAAATGGGATACAACCATCATGGTTTACGTTTTCCCAAAGTCCCAACAGAACGCCACCCATATGCGCGGTCGCACACTGGTCGTGCATTGGGCGCGCAGATGAGGCAGAACAGGGTGAAAAGTGCGCGGCCAAGTGAGCTGCCGCGCACGGCGAACTCCGGAAAAGTGTCCTATTTCACGTAGGAGAAGGTGTATTTATTTGGTCCTGACCCTACTTGGTATATATACATGGAAAAATGGTTTTTTGAGGACTTTTGACATAATGTAGACCTAAGGAAACTAAGGATAATAGGGAGAAGCAAGAGCACAAGGATTTCACTATTCATCCTCACTCAAGATAAGGGTTTGGATGTTTTATGTTTTCCTTTGACTTAAACTTAATTGTGATGAATTTTTCCATATCCACGGAGTAATTCTTCCTTAGGGATTGATGGATTTGGTGTTTTGAGAATTGTTTGTCGATATTAACTCTAGTTTTATGTATTGAAACGTTTTGGGTATTTTTATTGTTGCATGTATATTCACTTGTTTATGTAATCGAAAGAGGCATAATTTTTGATGTTTTGCATTATCTTATTGGTTGAATTCATTGATTCTTGTTAGTAATCAAAATAGGCTAGTTGAATTAATGTTTAGACCTAGTTAGGAGGATAATCGAAAGAGGTTCTCCTAAGGATCAATCCACTACGAATTCTTGCATATCTTCACCAAGCATAACTTAGTTCACATTGTAAGGTTGAGACTTAATCGAAAGAGGAGTTTCTGCTGAATGTTTGAACATAATAGAGTGAATTCGAGAGACTCACTTGAACCATAGAAGTGAAGTAACTAGAGTTAATTCACAAACAAGTATCTTACACCTATCCAATCAACCCCTATTTTCTCCCTTTGATATCTTCTTGATTACTCTTGTTGCGATTGTCATTAGCCAATAGTTTAGACTTTTA